CACCCCCCCTATAGCCAAAACCTCTCCAAAAAAAAAAAAAACCAAAAACAGGCCAGTTCATGGGAGGGGGGGAAGGAAGAGTTGACATTCAATGAGCACAGAGTTTGTGCAGGGGGTGATAAAAATGTAGATACAGGGGAACCAGCAGTTAGCATAATGGCTATGTCGCTGGACTCCCACGGTTCGCATCTCGGACCCGGTGGCTTAAATCTCACGCCGGGCGCGTGTGCATGCGTGCCCAAGATCCTGAGAGGAGAATGGAGGAGAAGGGATTGCGGTGACCATCCCCCATGGGGGGTGATTTCTCGCTTTCTGTCTCTATGTCTCTGTCTGTCTGGCGAGCGCACACGCCCTATAGCGAAAACCTCTCCAAAATAAATAAATAAATAAATAAATAAATAAATAAATAATGTAGATACAGACAGCAGTGACAGACCAATCACACTGTGACTGGATTTAATTCCAGTGAGTTCTCTCTGTACGAACGGTTAAAAGGTAAGGACTGTGTTTTACCACAATTAAAAAAAATGAGGAATTTTCGTAAGCACTTTCCCCCATGATGACCGTTCAGTGGCCCACAGCCACTGGAAATAGAAATACAATACTCATTTTGAATTTAAAAGTGGATCAAGATGAAGGAGCGTGTCGTGCGTTGGGCTGCCCACGGCTCGCAGAGGATGTCACCCACAGCACACATCAGCACTTCATTAGAAAAATCATTTCGTATTTTCACGAGCTATCTCAGGACCTCCAGCAATCAACCCCACACCGAGTGAGCATCCCTGAGCTTAAATAACTAAAAACCTTATGATTTACCATGAACTGAAAAGTAGATCGACTTTAAATACCATGTCTTCAAGACACTCTGCCAAGCGTATTCCCAGATGAATAAACCTCATTTATATTTCAAAACTACATGAGTTTATCTAAAACACTTTTTCCCATTTCAGGGAAATAACTCTAAAGTGAATTCCTTTGATTTTTCTTTTCGTTTTATATTAAAACTAAATCCTGGAATGGAACATGCTTCTGTTCTTCATTAGGCTCTCACCCATGCATACAGATGACAGATTTTCTGTAGCTTCACCGGTTTGGGTTACTTCTTGCTTTAACGTTCCAGCTGTTTTCTTGTATCCTCTTTTGGCCTGATCCACCAGAAGCTGAAATTCGTTCTGATGTTTTTTACCTGGAATTCAAAAGATCCGCTTAGGAAAGCTAGAATGATGAACGTTAGCTGTCACAGCTGAGGAATTGAATAGCAAGAGGGGTACGAGGTTGTCAAGAACAGCTCCCCCCGGCATCACGTGCAATGAGTTGAAGAGCTGCCGAGGACAAGAATACAAGGCTGGGTGGTCACGGAAGCTTCTCCTTGCCTGCTCCCTTCTTCAACTGCAAACACGGAAAGAGATAGTCCTAGTTTGCTTCTCCACACTTCTTCCCCAACCCCAAACGCTAACGAGGAGTTTGACAGAACAAGATGTCACTTCCTTGGGCCAGCTGGTGGCATGGTGGTTAAGGAAGCTGGATCCCACAAGGCTGACTGTGAGGTTAGAGTCCTGGACCTGGTGACTTGAAAAAAACATGAGGGTGTGTGTACCTGCCTCCTGCCCAAAATCCCAAAGGAGGGAGAGATGGGAGAGGAGAGATTGTAGCATGACCACCCCCATGGGAGGTACTTTCTCTCTCCCCACTTCCGTCTGTCTCTCTCAGACCGGCACACGTGACCTCTCACCCCTGGTGAACACACGAAAGAAAAGAAAAATGTCACATTCTTAAATACATCCAAAAGATATCATTCTAACTTCCAACACAGAGTACTAAGACAAAGAGTATTCATCAAAAAACAGAAGCTTCAAAAAAGCTGGGTCATAATAAAGGATAAGCACTCCAGTTCTTTTTCTTTTTCACATCTTGCCTATTTTCCAGCAAAACTCCTTTATTGTAACATTCCAAGATCTCGCCCTTTCCCACTCTCCAAGATGGCAGGTGGAAAAGCTGCAAAGCAGGATACTAAGGAGAAGAAACCTGAAGCCGAGAAGGCCGATGCCAGTGGCAAGGTTAAAAACGGTGACCCCAAGGCTAAAAAGCCCAAGAAGGGGAAGCCCCATTGCAGTTGAAACCCCGTCCTAGTCCAGGGCATCGGCACATACTCCCAGTCTGCCATGCATTCCAGGAAGGCTGTGTACAAGAGGAAATACTCGGCCACTAAATCCAGGATCGAAAAGAAAAAGGAGGTTCTTGCCGCTGTCACAAAACCAGTTGGTGGAGACAAGGATGGTGGTACCCAGGTAGTTAAACTTTGCAAAATGCCTAGGTATTATCCTGAAGATGTGCCTCAAAAGCTGCTGAGCCAGGGCAAAAAACCCTTCAGTCAGCAAGTGAGAGAGCTGCAAGCCAGCATCACTCCTGGGACCATTCTGCTCATCCTCGCTGGACGCCACAGAGCAAGAGAGTGCTTTTCCTGAAGCAGCTGAGCAGTGGCTACTTGTGACTGGACCACTGGTCGTCAATCAAGTCCCACTGCATAGAAAACACCAGAAATTTGCCGTCGCCACCACCACGAAAATTGATATTAGCAAAGTAAAAATCCCAAAGCACCTACCGATGCTTACTTCTAGAAAAAAAAACTGCAGAAGCCCAGACACCAGGAAGGTGAGATCTTCAACACAGAGAAGGAGGAATACGAGATTTCAGAGCAGCGCAAGGTTGATCAGAAAGCTGTGGACTCGCAAATTTTACCAAAAATCAAAGCTGTTCCTCAGCTCCAGGGCTACCTGCGATCCGTGTTTGCCCTTACACGTGGAGTTTATCCTCACAAATTGGTGTTCTATTTTTGTCAAGAACCTAATTAAATAACTGAATACATAAATATAAATATATAAGAGATATGTATATATAAGAACATTCTAAGATCTCTCAACCATTTCCACCTTATTTTGGGATAATAACAACAATCTTTAATTGCCACTACTTTAGCACTTTTGAAAATAATTTAATTAACCTTGACCTCAAGGTCACCATTATTAATATACATTAATTTACTAAATAAAAGGTAACCAGCCATGATTAGCGCATGGATTTTAGGACATCTATTTGTGACTCCAAACCATGGCTCAACCAGCTGAGGGTACAGTTTTCTTATCTAGCAACCTTCAATACTTAGACAATGGTTCAAAATAATGTCATAAATCCTTCCAAAAATTTTTTTAGAGAGTTTTTTGCTATAGGGTATGTATACTCGCTGGAGAGACAGAGAGAGACAGAAAATGAGCAACTGCCCCCGGCGGGGTGGATGGCCACGCCGCAATCCCTTCTCCTCCATTCTCCTCTCGGGATCTTGGGCACGCACGCACACGCGCCCGGTGGGATTCTCAAGTCCGGGTCCAGCATTGTAACCATTACACCATCTGCTGGTCCCAAATCCCTCCAATTTTTCAAATAGTTAAACCAAAGTTTTGAGGCTATTTTCAAATAATAACAATATATTATTTTTGTTTTGAATTTTTGCCAGAGGGCATGAGTGCTTATTGGAGAGAAACACAGAGAAAGAAAGATAGGAAAAGTGAGAAAGCACCCCTCAGTGGGAGAGGGTCATGGACCAATCCCTTCTCTTCCATTTCTCCCTCCTTTCAGGATTCCGGGCATGCACGCACACCTGGCATGTTCCTCAAGCTGCCAGGTTCAGGTCTCAAACCACACGGTCGGCCATGTGGAATCCAGCCACTTTAATCACCATGCCATGGGCTGGTCCAACAATACCCTTTTTGTGTGTGTGAGTTTTTTGGTTATTGGGTTTTGTTGTTGTTTTGGTTTTTGGTGTTTTGTTTTGTTTTTGGCTATAGGGCACCTACACTTGCCAGAGAGACACAGAAAGTGAGAAATTACTCCCCTGTGGGAATGACCATGCCTCAATCCCTTCTCCATTCTCTTCTTGGGATTTTGGCCAAGTACACACATGCTCAGCATATATTTCAAGCCACCAGGTCTGGGATTCAAACCATGGTCAACCACATGGGAGTCCAGCACCTTAACCACTTTGCCATCTACTGGCCCTCCAACAGCATACTTTTCATCACTTTGTTTCTTCAGTTTTTCTTGTAGCATAATATTAAGGTGCAGGAATTGACTACAGGGAAAAATGTGTGCTTCAATTAAAAACTGAGCATTACCTAAAGCTACCCTTCCGGGTTTCTTTGAGCTATGGCCCAGTTCAGTTGTAGTTTATTGATGACAATGGAAAATATTTCTCACCTATAGATATGTAAAATCCTGTCTGATGAAGTTTCAAGGGATTTCCCTCCCCACTATGGAGGAAGTCAGGTTTTCCTCCATTTTGTATATTTGTTTCAATATTCCCTATCTGTGAATGATACTGTCTTTTGGATTCTCCTTTAAACACCTCTTAACATCTTATCAGTCCCCTCTCTAATTGTGAGTTTTTCAAAATCTCTAATAAAGGGACCAGCAGGTGGTGTAGTGGTTAAGGCATTAGACTCCCACATGACCAACTGCAGTTTGAGTCCTGGACCTGGTGCTTTGAAAATCACGATGGGCACATACGTGTGCTCAAAATCTAGAGGAGGAGACTGGAGGAGAAGGGATCAGGGTATTGCCATCCCCCATGGGGGGGATGACTTTTCATTTTCCCTCTCTCTGTCTCTCTCTGGCAAGTGCATGCACCCTACGGTAAAAACCTTAAAAACAAACACACACTTCTAATAACAAATTCATTTCATATCCATAGGAGAATAATAGCTTTGTTTATGAAAACTGTCCTATACCACAGGAAGGGAACACTAAATTATGAAGCACAGTAACACGGACACAGATTGTCCCTAATTCCATTATACTGGGTCATTGGAAATGTCATGACACATTTTTGCACAGAAAATGTCTTGACACTTCCGATGACCCAACATTTACAGGTTGAGGATCCCTAATGCCCAAATCTGAAACCCAAATGCTCCAACATCTGTAACTTTTTGAATGCCAACATGATGTCCCAATGGACAAATTCCACACCTAACCTCACATGATGGGTCAAAACGCTGCAATACAAAAATACTACATAAAATTACCTTCAGGCTAATGTGTGCACTATGGACATGAAACATAAATTCTGGGCTTAAGCTTGGGCCCCATCCCAAGATAACTCATTATATATATGCGAATATTAAAATCCCCAAATCTGATGCACTTTTGGACTCATGAAATTTCAGAGAAAGGATATGCAACGCGTTTGAGTTTGGTACGTGTATGAAAACTCTCAGTGATAGCAATGTGTTTGGTTATAAAATGGCTAGTAAATTTTAAATAAGAGGGAAGTTAAATTTTCAGCAAAAGAAAAGTAGGCTGACCATAAAGATTACTGAAAAAACAGAACTCTTTAGAAATAGGTGCGATGCCATCAAGAACACATGCTAGGTGACTTCTTTCAAGTCCTATTTAACGTCTGCCCATTTCAGGATAATTATATTACACTTCATTTCCCAGAATCCATGGGCTCACATCTCTGCCATCGTTATGTAGTTTCTGTTAGGCAGAGAGAGCACAATACAGACAGCGCTCTGTATTTGCAGGTTCAACATCTGTGGATTAAACCAACTGCACAATGAAAATACTTGGGGAAAAAAGAAAATTCTGAGGCCACTCTGTTGCTTTGTACTTAAGGAACCGGATCCCACATGGCAAACTAATAGGTCTGTGTTCGGGACCTGATGGCTTGAAAAACATTGCATGAGTGACCAGAATCCCCAAAGGAGGGAGAGATGGAGAAGGGATTACAGCATGGTCCCGTCCCATGGGGTGCACTTTCTCACTTTCCCTCTCTGTCTGAATCCAGCAAGCACACACACCCTCCAGCAAATTAAAAAAAGGAGAAAAATCTAAACATGTACAACTTGTTTTTGTCATTATTCCCTAAACAATACGGTATAAGAGGACAACTGGAGATGTTCTGCCCAGACTGCACCCTCCTGACCCCGAGATCCAGTCAGGACGGGCCAGTCACAAGCCATCATTCAAGCTCTGAGCGGTCCCTTTTAGGAACTAGGACAACTGAAGAGTTTCTGCCCAGACTTCACCCTCCTGACCCCAAGATCCAGCCAGGTAGAGAACCCTTTGTATTCTGCCTCTAATTTTTTTTTTTCCAATTTTTAAACTTCTTCTTAGCACTCTCATTTATCT